ATTCATCGTGAAACTTGCTAATTAGCACATTATTAGGAAAGGCGATTTGCAAAGATTCATTACAAAACATTATACTCACTTCTTCTGTAGATGAGGCTGGATCATGAATGATTCGCACGAACATAGATGCATTTATGTAGATCGGGGCGCATTCCCTTCAGAAACAATGTAATCCACCGAGTCTGCAGCGGCTCAGATGTCGGGAGTAAATGACGACTGCTATGTTCATTATTACATCCAACAACAGAACACCTCAATCGCTCAGGAGTCATTCTTGTCTACATCTGCTCCGGCGGTGAAACAATGAAGCACTGATGACAGTCACTCAGGGCGGAGCTAAGGTAAGACACCAGTCCAGTCTGTGCTGAAACGCTACTGTCAATCAAACTATCGTGGGAGGGGCCTGAACCTTTCAGTGAACAGTTCTAGGTATCTGAGAACGGCTTGATATGAGAAAGAGGAAATTATTTAACAAGATTGGAAAAAAAACATTGGGTGGATTTTTATCATTATAGGGTGGTTGTGTACAAACAACTTGTAAAAGTACATGTAGCATCCTATGACCCCTTTAAGTATTCATTTGTTAAATATTGAGCATGGCATCTAACAGAATTTGCTGTGATGAAATCTCTTTTTAAAGTTGTTCTACAATGGAAGAAGACTTCTCCATCCGACCTCATGTTCCTGATGCATTTCACACTTTAATGTTGGATTTCAGCCAGACTGATATCAGACGCGTGTCGCCAATACTAATATTCTGCAAGAGTAAAGAGACAAAATAATAGACCAAGACAGCAGAGCTGGGATGGGCTGAAGGTGTACTGGTGTCCGCACCACTTTTAAACTGGTTTAATTATCAAGATCTTCTTGGTTAATCAACTTAACTACAAAAAACATGCTGAACGATCCACAGAAACTATAACGGCTGTTATAAATTGTCATATATAAAGATTTTTTTATACTGTGTGAGAAAAAGCATTGGGGCCCCATCATACACCCGGCGCAATGCGTCGCAAGTGTTTTCACACAGACAGGCATCTGAGATCAGCTTGATTTGAGAAAGGGGTAAAGATTTGAGCAGATTAAGAAAAAACATTGGGTGGATTTTTATCATTATAGGGTGGTTGTGTACAAACAACTTGTAAAAGTACATGTAGCATCCTATGACCCCTTTAAGTATTCATTTGTTAAATATTATAGTGTTCCATCCTTTAGCTAATTTGGTGTTTCTGGTCAAGAATAGCTTGTAAATCTCTCATTATGCTATATGATCAACAAATATTGGATTTGATCTTTTAAACAACTTGTTTTCTTTCAGTTAGCACAGTTCTTGTGTTTTCTTTTACATTTTTTTCTTTCTGATTGATCGTAGGTCTCATTGATCTGAGCTCATGCTCCTCAGTTTATGAGTGAAAAAAGCATTGCACTCTTAAAAATAAAGGTTCTAAAAGAGTGTTTTCACAGCGATGCCATAGAAGAACCAGTTTTGGTTCCCCCAAGAACCTTTCAGTGAACAGTTCTTAAAAGAACCATTTTTTCTTAGTGTGAAGAACACTAATGGCCAAAAATATATTGGTTGAAAAGTTTTAGCAAATATATTTGTAAATTCTGGTGCTCTACAGTTATTTTTGACCAAAGAAAATGTACATTTTGACATATATATATATATATATATATATATATATTTTTTTTTTTTAGAATTTTAGTACTTTCTCGAAATGTGACAGAACTTGATAAAGGTTTTGGCACTTCTAGTGGAAACGTTTGGTACTGCGCTCAAACATAATCTGACTGAAAGTTCATTTTTGGTGATATCAACCTCAAATTTGGAACACAACTTGTTTAGATTTATGGCTTTGGTTTTCTCACAGTTTTAGAGTAAAACATGTTCTGGATCATGTATTTCATATCAAATTTAAAAATAGTACTTTTGTGCATTTTTCATAATAAACTTAAACCTCTATAACTTTTTTGTTTCAATTTTATTTAAATTAAAAAAAAGTTTAAAAAAAATCTTCTGACTGAGGGATAAATATTTTTAACAAATAAAATAATTGAAAGAAAACAAGTTGACAAAAAAGCCAATATAGTTGACAAAATTGGATAATATAGCATAACATAGAATTTATAATTTTTTGTAGGCCGGTCATTTTTGACCAAGAAAAAAAATACCCCAAAAAATACAACAAAAAAAATTTAGGGGAGAAAGAAGTGAAATTGTTCTACCCTGTATGAGTAAAGTCACCTTATGAATTTAGTCCAATTCAATAACATTAAGTAGTATTTTCAGGAAAAATAAAACGACCAGAACACAACATGAGAGATGAATACTAGGATCATTTAAGGTTCATCAAATACAATCGACCAGTTTAATGCTAATCAAAGTTTGGTCATTACTTTATTCACAAGAACATTTTTATGTACAAAAATGTTGAAATCATGCAAACAAAAGCTGGATTTGAGCAGAACACATTCTGAAAATACAGTCATGATTATCAGA